GAAAGATTGAGAACCCAGGCCAAGGATTGGCACAAGCTGTCCTGATGCAGGAAGGCCACAAGGGGGCAGCACGCACTCTGGGAATCTTCCCCCACCTTCCTATCCATCACAACCTCCCACTTCCTCCTTCTCTGTGTTATTCTATGCTGGCACTACTTCCTAATTACAGGAAATAACCATCTTTAAGCATCAAAATCCAGGCAGTCACGTTAATCTGCAAACGTTTTTCAGATCTCTCTCATAGGCAAGGCTTACCATCCAGGGCTGAGTAAGCACAAGAACCCCCACGCTCAAGGAGAGGATAATCCGAGACCCACCCAAAGGCCGGCAATTAAAATGCCAACATGGTAAAGTATGTGAGAGCCCTTTGGCATTGTCTATACAGGGCCGTATACTTCCAAGGGATTCCCGAGAGGCAGAGGGAGCCAACAACAGACACTGAGATAGTCGCCAGAAACTTCTGGAAGGATCTGGAACCTCGGGGACATCATGAGGACAAAAACTAGGTTCTGTAAGATAGAGGGCAGCAAGGAGGAAGGCAGGGGCTGCAAGAAGAGTCAGCAGGTTGAGTGCAGCTGGAAGGGGCTGGGCCCCAGGCTCCACTGCCCTGTGGGGCCTTCCCCTGCTGGGGAGCAGCAGGTGAGCCCCCAGGCCTACAGCATTCATGGGGCCCACCAACGTCCCATGGAAACCTGCCGTCAGCGCTAGACAATACCCGAAGGCCAGCCGACCCTCCTCCACACGGAGTGGGCAAGGAAACAGGCCCCGACATGGAAATAGCTCCCAGACCCCACCAGGCAAGTTGGGCAGAGTTAGGACAAGATCCCAGCTCCCAGCCCTTCAGTCCACTCTTAGCTTTCAGCCAGTGTCCCTCCCATAGACTAGAGGCAGAGTCTGAGAAAGGCCCACATTACACCCCCCTTGTAACACCTGCTATAACATGGACAACTCAGAAGGGGCAAAACTTCCTGAAAGACAACAGCAGGGGCTGGGGAGGGGAAGGGGTGTGGGGAGGGAAAGGGGTGTGGGTAGGGGAAAGAGTGAGGGAGGGGAAAGGGTAAGGGGAGTGGAAGGGGTGCAATGGTTGAGGTGGGGTTACAGCAGCTTTGCCGGCTCACTTGTGCACTGATTTGTTCCTAACACAGCCAAGGAAGCCATACCTTTTCTCCCAGTGGTAGCCTCAAGAGTCACTGTCCAGAACCAGGAATATTGCCCCAATTTATGCCCTAGCAGGAGGCTCCACGTTTCCCCTCTTCTTACCACCCCTAATTCCAACCTCTGGCCTGGGACTGCAGCGAGAAGGCCAGGTGGGGGTGGGGTGGGGCACTTGTTGATGGAGCCAGCAGCAGCCTGCCTGGGTCAGGACCTCCGTGGCTCAGCCCTGGCCTCCCCCTGGCCTTCAGACATGAGGGAACCCACTGCCCACAGGGGATCCATCTATTTGAAAGCCCTGCCCAGCTGCTCCCTGCCACCAGCTGCTGCTCCTGTTCTCCCCGCCCACCCTCACTTTCCTTTCATCCTGAATCAACACGTATGGTCACAGGCCATGGCCCTGCTGATAGTCACAGGGCAATGGGGCATTGTTCTGTCACGCTCCCTCCTTTCTTCCTGTGGTCGTGTGCTCCTGCATTTATTCATTCAACAAACGTTCATCCAGTGCCCACCCCGCCGGGCCCTGCCCTGGGACTGCAGCGGTGAGTCAGGCAACAGAGCAGGGATGAAGAGGGCCTCGAGGCCCAGCGGAGGTTACACACCGCCCGCCTGCATCAAGCTCTGTCTGCCATACACCATGCTTCCTTGTCCATGTCCTGTTTCCCTTTAAAACCAGTTGACAAATTTTATAAGCAGGAGTTTTCACATAGAATTCCCATTTCCTGGACCTTCGGTGGGCCCAGCAACACCTGTTCCCATTTCCCAGGTGGCCACCGTGGCCTGAGGCTGTAGACCAGCTGTCTGGTTAGGAAGACACTCCCACTCACCACAGTCTTCACCCCGCCCTAGTGTCCGTTGCCACAGCTGCCCTGCAGGTGGTGCTGTTGGTATTCTCGGGCCCAGCCAGCCTCACCAGCTTCCTCTGGGTACCTACCTTGTTCCTGCAAGTTGTCTGAGCGCCTCGGTCAAGGGTGAAACGTGCTTCAATAGAGACAGCAGAGGGCGCTGTGGGCGCACAGAAGAGAGGTGCCCAGGTACCTGCTGGGATTGCCAGAAACAAGATTTCCTAACAGCCTGAGGAGGGAAGGTTCCTTGCTGCAGTGTGTGCTTCCTCCATCAGCTCAAACAATAGAGGGCCAGCCCCATTAGGGAAATCCCCTGAAATTTCCAGACGTACTCCTGAGCCAGACTTGCACTGTTCACTCATTCACAAATGATTAACACATTCATTCAAGCATGCATTCAGCAAACATTGATTACATACTTGCTGTGTGCTTGGCACTGTGCCATGCCCCGACCTTAGCTCTCGTCCTGGTATATTATCTTTTCTTTACTGATAAGGAAAATGAACCAGAGAGGCTGAGTGAATTGCCTTAGGGTCACACAGCCGGTCTGAACTCTAAACAACTATTCCATGTGCCGTGTCAGCAGTGCAAGATAGAACATGCTCAGGGCCAGGGCGGGCAGCACACGGGCTCCCTCCGGCTTTCAGAGGGCAGTGCGGCCAGGAGGGGCCTGGCAGTGAGGGGAGGCTTCACGAGAACACGACAAAATGACTCCTGGAAGTGGACGAGGGGAACCTACCTTCCCTGATGAAAGGGGAGAGGCTGGAAGGTCCTTAGAGTGGGTTCTCCAGACACACTTCCTGGGTCGAGGGGTAGGGGTGCCAGTAAGGACATGATCCTTCAGCAAATGTGAGGTCTCCCTGCGCCAAGCCCTGGAGGACATGAACATGAATGCGGATTCCCCTGAGGATCTGCAGGCAGTGATCAGACAAGGGCAGAATTTGCAAATACCTTTGCTCCAGGAAAGGAAGTGCTGAGAGCCAGGAATGGGGTGGGAGCGATTGGCCCAGCAAAGAGACTGTTTCCCATTGGGAGGAACAGAGCAGCTTCCCGGATCAGGTAGCATTGAACTGAGCCCTGCAGGGTGGGCAGGACTGAAACGGACGTCAACTGAGTCCAGCATCCGAGCTACCTGTCACCACCCAGCCAAAGAGCTGGGGATCGAAGTACAGGTGCACATTTAATAGTATCAGTGCCAGATATCTGGGAAGGTGACTGGTAAAAACCCTAACATCCACCTTCTCCGTAAGCTTCTTAGGGGAAAGCTTATATAGGGGAGTTGGGGGAAGGGAATGTGGACGGAGAACGTGGAGTACAGGGGTCCTGGTGATTAGCAGTCTTGGAATTTGAGTCCCTGCAGGGCCTTGGGTCTTGATGAATGTCTTCATCATGGTCCCCAGATCAGGATGGTCAGAGTTCTGAAACAGGGCAAGTGGGGATCCGGTGTGGATCACCCTGTGTTTCTTTTTCGTGTTTTAAAATATATTTTTATTGATTTCAGAGAGGAAGGGAGAGGGAGAGAGGGAGAGAAGCATCAATGATGAGAGAGAATCATTGATCAACTGCCTCCTGCATGCCCCCTACTGGGATCGAGCCCAAAACCCAGGCATGTGCCCTGACTGGGAATCGCACTGGTAACCTCCCGGTTCATAGGTCAACACTCAACCACTGGGCCACGCCGGCTGGGCTACCCTGGTGTTTCTGAAACCTAACTGATCAGCGTCCACATTTCTGGTGGCCAGGCGTGTGAGTTCGGGGCTGGGTTAAAAGTCTCTGTTTTGGTCTGGCAACTGACAATTGCAACAAAATCTTCACCAGAACATAAGGTTAAGCATAGACAGTTGATTAATCAATTACACGGTCTGTGAGTAAAAGCGTGGGAAAGAGAGAGGAAGAGAAGAGGAGGAAAAAATAACAATCATGTTTAACCTATCCTTGTACCCCTATGAGGACTGCACCCCATCATGGGGGAAGGGCACACCTGGGGTGAGAGCACCGAAGACAAGGGCCTGGGGGTGCTCGTGGAGCTGAGGCTGATCAGGCCAGGCAGGGCCGTTCTTCCCTGGGAGATGGGGAGCTACGGGGGGTTTGCAGCCTTGCAGCTGGAGCGGCAGGCTTGCCCAAGAGGCTACATCAAAACAGTTGTCCTGATGCTATAAGCTCTTGAGGGTGTGGCTCTCACGTTGGGAGCAGGATTTACATGAATAATGCTGACAGCCTATGCCCCAAGGAGCTGTCACTTAGATTACAAGAAGGAGATGTAATCCGATTACCCTTAACCCGGAACCTGGATGTCTGAGCCCAATTCCTGCTCAGTCACCAACCAGCTATGTGGCCTTGCTCTGACAGCTCTCTGGGTGTCAGTTTCTTCATTTGCAATATCAGGAGGTTGACCCCCTACCCTACCCCACCCCCTACCCTTCTGACCCCGATTCACCCCCTGTGAATCTAAGACCTCCACTCCAGCCCCTCACAGACCCAAGAAGGGGAAGGCTCAGCCATCCTTGTTGGGCTGCCCACTTTGGGGAGGCAGAGTGGGTCCGCCCCCACCCAGGGGTCCTCAGCCCACCACCAGCCTCTGGCTATCAGGTGGGAAGGTGGTCCCTCAACAAGAGGGGGTTGGGGTCAGAGGGAAGGAGGGGTGCCAGAGGAGAGGCAGCTTGCTCAGGGAGGGCAGGGGTGGGGTGAAGGGGAAGTGAACTAACCAAGCAACTTCCTCCCCAACCAGCTTCAGGCCCAGGACTGGGAAATTCACAAAAGTACAGAAAGATCTGTGTGGACATTTCCTGTTCCACCCTAGTCCCCCTTCCTGGCCGCCCAGGTCTGGGTTACCACACTGCTCACCTGTGAAGCAATCTTCCCACTAGAGGGCTGAGTGTTCTGGCCAGGAGAGGCCTATAAATGCTGGGCCCACAAGACGCCGTCAAACCCCTCTGCGTGACTCTTCAGCTTAGGTAAGTGAGCTGCCAACTTCCCTGGGTAGCAGCCTGCCTGCCGAGTCTTTCTTTATACCTGCTACCCATCTGCCTTTCCAACCCTCCTCCGGGAAGCCCTCCTTGATTAACCTGCTCACTATAAAGCTTCCTTCTCATCTTGTTGGAGCCTCCTGCTCTCAAATCCTCTGCTTTTTTACATTCTCCAGATATTCTAAAAGTTATTTCTCCCATGTCTGGGTCAGGGTCCTTTCCCAGTTCAATGCCCCTTTCTTTTTCTTCTGTGTCTGCCCCTGCCCCCCACTTCATTTCTGCAAGCAGCCAGGAGGAGGTGTCTAGGAAGGCTTTTTCTTCTAAGCACCTGACCCCTTGCTTCTCCTCAGCTCAGAGAACAGGAAGACAAGGACAAAATGTCGCAGACTCTGATGGAATGCAGCGTGGAGACCATCATCAACATTTTCCATCAGTACTCCACGCGCCTGGGGCACCCAGACCGACTGAACCAGAGAGAATTCAGCCAGATGGTGAAGAAGGAGCTGCCTAATTTCCTCAAGGTAGGGCTGGACTCCTGGCCACTATGTGCCGAGAGGAAGTAAGAGAGAAGCTGGGGGAGAGTCGGACTGGGCCGGGGAGAGGCGACTAGTGAGGTAGACAAGAAGGTGACATTTGAGCTGAGACCTGAATGTGTGAGAGGAGAGAAGCCGAGGGAGGAGGAGCCTTGGCAGAAGCCAGGAGACTGAGCCCCAGACGGAGGCGGGAGCCCCGAGGGCACTCTTCTGGTATCCGGATCTCCCGTAGGAAACAAACCCAGGGCATGTGCAGAGCCCCACCCAGCACAGCCTGTACACAGCCCTCGGGGCGTGTGATGTACTGACTGATCTAAAAGGGATCAGGCAGTCCTCGGGAAAAGGAGGCTTGGTTCCAGCAGACCTGTTCTGTTTACACTTTTGGGGACTTTGGGGAAGAGAGGCCTGGACTAGGAAGGGTGGCGCACCTGGGTACCAGTCTCAGGTCCACTCCTGGAGCGATGTCCTGGGGCAGGTGGCCAGCCCAACCTGGAGCCACAGCTCCCCGTAGTGGGGACCTCAGCAAGCAGGACGCTGGGTCAGGCTAGACCGCAGAGGGTGGAGCTGGCGAAGCTTCCTCTGTGTGAGGCCTGTGCCTGCCACCCTCCCCCCTGTGCCGGAGGCAATGACAGGCCAGGAGGGGCGGCTGGGACCTTGCCAATGGGCTGCTACCCATTGGATGACTGGTCTCCCCCAGGGCAATGGCAAGCGTGCAGAAAGAATAGACCGTGCAGAGGCATAGCAGGAGGGAAGGCCTGGGCGAGGAGCTGGGCACCCCCAGGTTCTGGAGGGGACTTAGCTGCCATGCCCAGGCCAGCGAGTGGCATAGCTGGGACTCGCTGGAGCTCGCTCTGCCTCGCCTGGTTCCTCACCTCCCCGTGCCCTCCTCCGGACACGTTATCTCACCCTTGGTCAACGGAGCACCCACGCTGCTCCCTGTCCTTACACAAGGGCCCGATCACCTTGTTTCCTCAAGTGCTTCCTGCTACACAGGTGTCACTAATTTGTGACCGTGAGAGGGAAGGGAGAGGCAAGGGAGGGAAAGGGAGGGGCCGGGCCGAGTGGACAGGAGCAGAGGGGAGGAGGCGAGACGGGTTCTGAGTCAGCCCCGGGCGGTGTGTGGGATAACTGGAAAGTAAACGGCGTCCCGTCAACGGTCATTTTTAATTTGGGGTTGAGGCCCAGAAGCCAGGTTTCCCAGTGCCTTTGCCATCGGGTCTTTGGCTGTGCTGCCCGCCCCTGGCCCTGGCCACCCCCAGCCCTGACCACCCTGTCTCCCAACCTGCAGAAGGAGAGGAGGAATGAAGCAGCCATTAGGGACATCCTGGAGGACCTGGACACCAGCGGAGACAAGGACCTGAGCTTCGAGGAGTTCATCACCCTGGTGGGCAGGCTGACGGAGGCCTCCCACGAGGAGATGCACAAGAACACCCCCAAGGGGCACGGCCACACCCACGGGCCAGGCTTCGGGGGGTCTGGCCCCAACCCCTGCAAAACCCAGGGTGGCAACCAGGGTGGCAACCACGGCCACAGCCATGACCACGGCCACGGCCACGGCCACAGCCATGATGGCCACGGCCACAGCCACTAATCAGGAGGCAGGCCACCCTGTCCCTGCCAATCCAGGGCCCCAGGCTGTGTGCACACAGCTGAGGCGGTGGCCTGAGCTGCAGGGCTGGGGTTGAGATGAATAAAGAGTTCCTCCAAGCCAGTGCTCTGTGTGCTCCTTCCACCCCCTCCGCGGCCTGTCCTTCCCGGGCTCTGGCTTAGACTCCATGCCCCTTCATTCAGCCCTTTGTTTGCAGTCACAAGAGGAGAAGCCTCAACAACGTGGTCCTATTCTGAGTCCCTTGCGCTCGCCTCCCTGACCATTTTCTCGCCTCTGACCTCAGGCCCTGCTGCTCAGGGCCTAGTCACCCCAGCCCAGCTCAGGACTTCCCTGTGCAACCTGTCACCTGGGCCCTGGCCGCCACAGAAAGCGAAGAGGGGGCACCCCATCCCCTCGACATGCCAGCCGCCACCACACCACCCACCCAGCCACCGCCCCCTTCACCCATGCTGCCCACACTGCCGTCTCTCTGCTGCTGGAACCTGGTGCCTCTGGGAGGTTCAGACAGGCCCTGGACAGGCTGAGTCTGAGGAGAGCCCTGGAGTCTGGGCATTGGAGACAGGGTCAGGTTGGGGGTGTTTGTCCACCAGTGAAGTTCTGAGTCCACGGGAGCAGTTGGTGCCTCTTGAATGAGGGGTCTCTCCTCTTCCCCGTGGACACCGGGGCAGGCGTGCACGTGGGTGAGAGTCGGGGAGTCCAGCCCATGCCCAGCAGCCCCGTGAGGAGGTTGGACTCTGGGCCCAGCGAGCCTGTCGGGCCTGGTTCCAAGCCTGAGAGCAAGCTGAGCTCCCCAAGGTGGCCAGGTTCCTGCAGCCCCTGGTCAGCAGGCACTTCCTGCAAAGCCTGAGGTCGGGCCTGGCTCCCCGCTTCCGCCCTCCGCAGCCTCCAGACCAGGGGTCCTCAAACTTTTAAACAGGGGGCCAGTTCACTGTCCCTCAGACCGTTGGAGGGCCGGACTATAGTTAAAAAAAAAAACTGTGAACAAATTCCTATGCACACTGCACATATCTTATTTTGAAGTAAAAAAACAAAACGGGAACAAATACAATATTTGTATTTGCATGTGGCCCGCGGGCCGTAGTTTGAGGACCCCTGCTCCAGACCCCACCGCTCACTTCAGAGACATCCCAGTGACTCCTGCCACCAGCCCTGCCCTGTGGCCGGAGAGCGCCAGCCTGTGCCCTTTCCCAGTTCGTCTCCAGGCTGGGGTGCGCCTTCCAAAGACCACAGCCCAGACCAAGGTGTCTGCCCTGCCCTGTCCTTCCACAGAGAAAAGACGGACCGCATTGGGGTCGGGGAGAAAGATCCACAGGCATCCATCCCCCGAGTTACCATGAAGAAAGCCAGGTGCAGAGTGGGGAGGGACCAGTCCAGAGTCCTACGGCGGTGGCGCTGGACGAGACAGTGCGGAGAGGAAAGGGCCTGCAGCCATCTTCTCCCCGGGCTCATCTCGCAGCTCGTCCCCAGCGCTGAGCGTGAAGAAAGGAGCTGCGGTCGGATGGCAGATGGAAGGTGGCAGCTCTCCCACTTGGCCTGGCTGCAGCGGGCCAGGCTGACCCAGCCCTAGGGCCCAGGGGCCTCTGCCATGGGGTGCAGATCTCGGGGCTCCTGCTGCAGGGCAGAGGGTGTTTCCAGCACTGCTCCAGGCTGTGAGCTGGGGAACCATTTAGAAGCCCCCCCGCAGCCCCCTCCCCTCCCCCCCTTCCTTCCCTGCCTGTCTTGGAGACGTGACCACTATAGACACTCAGCTTCTGAGGGTGCTGCTCAGCCACTCTCCTGCCCGCATAGGGTCACCCCTCTGCCTACAGCTTGGCAGGGGCAAGAGAACCGCCTGGGAGCTGGAGGCCTGGCTTCTATCAGTGGCTTTGCCAGGACTCCATGTTTTGGGTAAAGTAGGGTAGGGTAGGAGAGGGAGCAGGAGAGAGGGGGAGAAGAGGAGCAGGGGAAAGGGGCAGGGGCTGGGAGGGGAGGGGAATGCACCATAAATATATCTGTGACTGCCTCCCACTAGACTGTGAACTCCAAGTTGGTGCCATCTGGCTTGTTCTCTGTTTTTTCACCAGCACGTGGTGGGAGTGATGGCTGGTACATAGCAGCTTCTCAACCAATGTTGACTGTACAGATGTCCTCAGATTTCTGGAATGTTCCATGCTCTCTCCTCCGGAAAGGGTGTGGAGAAAGGAGGGTTGGATTGAATTCACAGATGGAAAATTTCTGGGTGTCATCGTGGAATTCAAAAGGGCAGGTAGGGGCAGCAGGGTGGTGGGGCCTGCAGCCCCCTCCCAGCTGTGTTCCATCTCACCAGCCCGCATCTGCTGCACACTACAAGTTCTGTTTGAAGGAAGGGATTTGTCTGGAGAAAAAGTTGGCAAATTGTTGATTTAACCCAGCCTGCCCCACCCCACGCTGGAGTGATTCTCCGCAACATGCCTGCCAAGTGGTTGGCAGGGCCCTGCCCGCGCCGCTCCAGGGAAGGGAGTTCCCTCTTGGCACCGCCACTTAGAGAGTCTGTTCTTACACTAAGCCCGAACTTGTCTCCTGGTGCCCGCTGGGCATGAACGCCACTTTCCCTCCCCATCCACGGGGGCACAGAAAAACCCTCAGCCTTCCATCTACGCAGCCGCCCATCCACGTCTTCAAAACACTTCCCTTCCTGGCACCCAGGCTTTCTCTGGCCTCTACTCCTTTGCACCAGGAATGCCCTCCCCACCCTGGGGTCTCTGCGTCACTGACGACTTCCATGACCAGCCCCCTTCCTCGAGCATATAGAGGCTCCCTCGGCCAGGCCCATGCAACTCTCTGGTACTTCTACTCCTGCGCTTCCAATATGGAGTTAGAGCCCCTTGCCAGCAAGTCCGACAGGGCCCTGAAGGCAAGGACTATGGCTGATTGGCAGCATACATAGCCCAGGTGCCAGCAGGGAGCAAGCTGGGTGAGCCTTACTGAGTGAAGGTGGTGGTCCTAGGCCTGCTGGAGCTGGAGGGGGAGGTGGGGACAGCTTTGGACATTAGGGGCACGCCCACGTGGGACCTAAAGGCTGGGAGAGGGTGGAACAGCAGGATGGCAGGGGACAGAGCTTCTGGAAGCCAAGTTCTCCCTTTGCCTCGGTGCTCTGCTTGCTCATTCTGAGAGTAGGAGATTGTTCTAGACTAGCCGTGGGCAAACTACGGCCCGCGGGCCGGATCCGGCCCGTTTGAAATGAATAAAACTAAAAAAAAAAAAAAAGACCGTACCCTTTTATGTAATGATGTTTACTTTGAATTTATATTAGTTCACACAAACACTCCATCCATGCTTTTGTTCCGGCCCTCCGGTCCAGTTTAAGAACCCATTGTGGCCCTCGAGTCAAAAAGTTTGCCCACCCCTGCTCTAGGCCCAGGGGAAGGCCTGGCAGCAAGCCCCTTTACACAGCCCCGTGGGGTTTTCCTTAAGCATGTTTAAGAGAGCTGGTCACGGTGCGTGAGCCCCTTCCATCCCGTGAGCCCCTCCCATTCCAAGAAAACTGATTCTGTTGCGTAGAGGAGAGCTGGCCTCTTCCCTGAGACAGGGAGCAAGAGTGTCAGGGTCAAGGTTAAGGCTCCACCCCAGGTGAGAACGGGTTTTTAATGCATCCTTTGGGAAATAAGAACTTTGGGGTCTCCCTGGCATCACAGTTTCTGAGGAACAGAGAACCTGTCATCAGAGGGCTCTGCTTCCCTTCGCTGTGGAACCTGAACTTCTGGATGGCTTTTGGGAGGGATGAGGAAGCAACAGTCGCAGCCTCAGCTGCAGGACTCTGCCCAGACGCTCCGAGGCCTGGGCGATGCTCCCGGAACTAGGGGACAGATGACTGAGGGCATCACTTACTTGTTGGTCCACTCACTCACTCACTCAACAGGCACTAATCGCGCTCACTGTATGTCAGGTGCTATAATGCTCAGAGGGGCCCCAGGGTGAATAAGGCTTGTCCTGTCCTTAAGACACTCCCAGGCCTGCAGGACAGCTCCTCAAACAAGTCTGACACAGAAGAGGAAAGACCAGAGAGGCGAAAGTTCCCTAAGACTTTGAGGAGGGAAGGCTGTCCTTCATCTGGGCTGTAGTGGTGGAAGGCAACAATTAGAGTAGCTTCAAGCGTGGGGGCAGCAGGCATCCCCCCCCCCCCAAAATCATGCAGGTGCTTGAGACAGAGAACATGTGTGCACGGGCCTGAAAGTGGGCAGAGGTGGGGTCTGGGCAGGAATGAGGAGCCTCGGGTTCCAGAGGAAGAGGAGGAGAGAGGAAAGTGGGCCGATGCTAGGCCACAGCAGGAGAAGGAGGGCAGGAGCAGTGGGGGTTTGGGGGTGGGGGCGGGGAATGATATCATTGGTGTTTGGAAGAGTCTCCCTGTGGGGTGTGGATTTGGGGTGGGAATGAGACCAACAGCACAAGGCCCAGGAGGGGGCTGCACCATCATCCAGGGGGCACTTCTCAGAGAAGATGGATTCAGCCGGGATCTCCAATACCCCAGGCCCATCCCAACTAGGAATCCATACCCCACAACCCCCCGAGTTTAAAGAAGATCATTTCGTACTGTTCCCCAAGACCTTGCCTCAGCTTTCGCCAGCCCGGTGAGGCAATCTTACACAACCCTGACTCTGAAACAAACTCCAGAAAGCAACCTCAGTGTCCTGCCCTGCCTCCCAGCTGTTGCTGAAAACGTACATTTTAGAAAGCCCATGTCATGGATTTTGACATGCCAGTGGCCAAAGTGACAACAGGACTGACACAACTGGTTGCTCAAGTTCTGTTGCCTCTTGGGGTTCAGGCCTGAAACAATCCCTCCACCCCAAGTCTTCTGTCAGATCCTGGCCCAGATTGAACCCCAGTCTCTCTCTCCCCACCCCACCCCCCTGCCCTCGGAGCATCACAGACCCCTTCCATCCACAGGAGACTGGGAAAGTGAGCACCCACCAGAAAGGCCTCTGGCTCTGTGTGGAGGAGGGATGATTGATATGATTGACAACCGGGGGAGATCATTCAGGCTCTGTGAGGAGGAGGGATGATTGATATGATTGACAACTGGAGGGGGGATGGGGACCAGTCTGAGGGCTGCTGTGGGACTAACTGAGCCTTAACTCTGCATC